GAAGAGCCCCCCAGTTGCGACTTCGTTTATGTTAGGAGACCAACGGGCATAGATCCCGTCTAGTTGGAGCGCCAAACAAGCGCTGTTGCGTGCCGGCCGTCGTTTCCCGTGCGGCCTGACCCGGGGGCGGAGTGCATGAGACTAACCAGCCGTATGCACCCGCCCCCCGCGCTGTGCTTCGGCCCTGGGCCCCCGGCTTTTCAGCCCACAGTGTAACCAACGTCATACATACATACATACATACATACATACATACATACATACATACATACATACATACATACATACATACATACATACATACATACATACATACATACATACATACATACATACATACATACATACATACATACATACACACTCACGCACACACAATCGGGTGAGAGTTCAAGCTTTCTAATGGGGCCTGGTGCCGTGGTAGGGAGGGGTAGGGTCGGTACAGGGTTTCCGGGTTTCCTGTGTCTTCGCGAACCCTCACCCCAAGATCAGGCCAGATCAGGCCGGGGAGGGAGAGGAGTCGTGTTTCGTGTCTCGGGATCAGTGCGCGAACTCGCGTGGCGCAGCCGTGACTTGTGAGAGCATGTGCGCGTGCGACGCATTCTTCCCAGGGGGGAAGGAGAACGGAGCTAGCGGGCCTGCTTAGGCTCTCGGCTGCTTAGGAGGGGACAGAGGCCCCCTTCGCGCCCCTCTCCCGTCCGCGGGAGAGAGCTTAGGCGGTCTTTCCGTTGCGGCTGGGCAGCAGCCCCTCTGTGGCCAGTGTCGTCAGGCCGTGTCAGATACCTTGTTACCTTGATACATACAGACACACTCTCTCTGACACTACATACATACATACACAGACACATGCGCACCTACATACATGCACCTACATACACACACATACCCTGCTGCCACATTTCGCACATTGTCGGCAGGAAGAGGAGGAGAAGGAGGAGGCCCCGGCAACTGAGTACCAGAGGGCGGCTCTCCCCCGGGTGGAGCCGAGCCGCCGTCAGCGCCCAGGTCGCCATCACGAAATGATGCAACCACCTTCGCCGCCATCACCGCTGCGGGGGGGACATCAGGTCTGCAGGCGAGAGGACCAGCACCAGCACCAGCACCAGCACCAACACCAACACCAGCAACAACACCAACAGCGCGCGGCGCAACCTGAGAGGCTGCAGCCGCAGCAACCTGAAGGAATCTCGACGCGAAGGAATCAACATCTGCGGCAACAGCAACATCTGCAGCAACAGCAGCCAGTGTCAAAACATGCGCTGCTGAAGAGGCCTCGATATGTTGATGACCATGACCCTAGCATTGGCGCTGGCGCTGGTTGCGATGGCGAAGTAGTTGAAGATGACGATGCTGCTGCTGATGGCGGTGCTGGGGGCTTACACGGGGCTCAGCAGCCCACCCGGGCCGGCCGCTCCACCATTCGGGTGACTATGAAAAGGAAAAGCACTCCGGTCGCTCATCCCTCAATCGGCGCTCGGCCTCCGGGACCGGCCGTCGTCGACCGTTGCCGTGGCGGTGGCGGCAACTCCGGTGGTAGTGCGGCTGTTGCGAAGAACGAAGATCGCGCTTGCACGCTGTTGCCGCCGCGAAATGCGCCGATGCTCCCTTCGGCGGCGGCGGCGGTGGCGGCGGTGCGGCCCCCTCAACGCCGCAACAGCGGCAGTGCAGATGGTATCGTACACGACCCCCGGGACGGCGGGATGCAGCTGCCGAAGGCGGCTGCTGCCGCCAAGGTTCCTGAGGCAATGGCAGCGGCAGCAATTGCCCCCGGGACCTGTTGCGATGGCGAGGCAGCGTTACCACTGGCCCTTCGTAGAGGGCGGAGGAGAGGGGTGGGGCTCAAGGCACCCGATGTCAGCGGTGGCGGTGGCGGTGGGGTGGTAGTAAAGCCCGGGTCATCCCCGGTGTTGGCGGAGGAACCACAAGAGCCAAGAAGGACACGGGGGCCCGCCCGGCAGCTCAAGATCAAGCCAGGTGTTGATGATGATGCTCTGTACGAATACAGGACCGGCACCGGCGCCCGGGATGCTGCCCCTGTCGTTGCCCCCGGCATTGACGCAGCAAAAGCAGCAGCAGGAAGAGCAGATGCAGGAAGAGCAGCAGCAGCAGCAGCTCCTACTCCGGCGAATGAGCCGTCGGGGGAAAGGCCGGTGAAGGCGTCTCAGAGGCCGCCCGCGCAGAGGCAGCGGAAGCGCCCGCTGGCGGTGGCTGCCCGGCCGTCGACACCCCAACCGCCACCACCACTGCCAGGACCGCCACCGTTACCGGCGCCGGCTGCGGAAGCAGCAAGGGGCCGTACGGAGAGCCGCACCGATAGCGAAGCCAATCAGATGGCATTGCAAGCTCAGCAGCAGCCACAGACCGTACCGCCGCCGCGCCAACCAGCGCCGCCCCGGCTTCGCCAGCAACGTCAGTCTCAGTCGACTAGGCAAGGCAGAGTCGAGGGGGTGCGGGGACCTGGATTCGCCGGGGGCAGTACTGCTGCTGCTGCTGCTACTGCTGCTACTGCACTCACCCCGGCCCCACGGCCGGGGTCTCCCGAGATACCGGCAAGAGGCGGCGTTACTGCAAAGGTGTTCGAGCGTGCCGTTGCGGCAAAGAGGGGCCCCGGAAACGGCAGTAGCTGGGAGGGGGGCGCGGCGACGACGACTGACGTGCGATCTGTAAGGACTGCGGCTGCGGCTGAGGGAGGGGGAGGGGGAGGGGGAGGGGGAGCCGCTGCGTTGATGCGGCCTCAGGCAACTGCTGCGGCGGTGGCGGAGCCGCTGAACGTGTGCCGCAGGGACGCCAGCGGCGCTGGTGGCGGCGTCGGCTTCAATCAAGGCACCGTCGCTGCAGCGGGGCAGCGGCGGCGGCGGCGTGAGAGTGGCGCCCCTCCGTCCCGTACCACTGTTTCAGAGAGCCCCGCCGTTCAGCTTGGACACGGCCGACAGGACAAGGTCGCGGTAGCCGACAAGACAAATGTTGCTGCTGCTGGGGTTTCTGCCGCCGCGGCGAGGACGTCTGCTGCTGCTGCCGCCGCCGCGCCGCCGGCAGTATGCGGCGGCAGTGGCGGCCGGGTAACACAGCCACCAGCCAATGCTGCCATCGCCAAGTGGGGGGGAGAGAGGGAGATTGGTAACAGCCCGGGGGGGACGAGCAGCGATGAAGGTCAGTCGGTGCTGCCGCCGCCAGAGAGGCCAGTGGTGGACGGCGATGTTGATAGGGATGAGGAAGTGGACGCGTTCGCGCAGCTAGTGGCAGCTAGGATGTCGCGCCATCGCCAGAAGCGGCTGCGTGCGATGCTGCCTAGCGCACAGCTAGAGGGTCGTTCCTGAGGGGGCGAAGGAGGAGGAGGGACGTGAATGCGTGAGGAGGGGGGTGGCGTTTGAGAGGGAGCGTCGGCTCTTTTGTGTGCTTGGTGGTGGGCGGGTGGTGGTTGGGGATGTTGTAACAAAGGGGGAAAACATCCAATGGTGAAACAGCCATTGACCCACATTGGGAGATCTTTCCTCGAGATGTCGATGTCCTCCTTGTTGACGAGCGGTGAGCAGTGGGTACTGAGCAGTAGGCTGCATCTGTCGAGAGCAACGAGAGCGCACACGCGGTGGGGAACGCAGTAATGATGTGAACCACTTTCACCTGAGTAAAAGGTGTATGCTCAAGAAGCCTATATGCGGTGCCTGGGTCAGCCCGGGCACCACCTGCCGAACACTTCTGGCTGGCTGGGCCTCGATTAGTGTCCAAGTGGATACACTGATCGCGCAACGATGCTCAGGACGACCAGCGCATAATGGAGAACAGATTGCGTTTATGTAAGCAAAGGGGACGTGGGGGGGAATAAGACGAAGAAGGACGAGGAGGGTAGCTGGTATTTATCCTTGGCTACCACGAGAAGTGATCCCCCTAGGATTAAATTTCCTAGGACTCAAGGGAGGGGTCCACGGAGATGCCCCATACAAAACCGCACAAATATGTTCTGCCCTGAACACACACATATACGTCACTACAAGGACATACAGACCAATTTTCCTGCAACTGTCATCATGTTTTTTCGACGCTTACCTCGGAAGCACGCTGCACCTCCCCTTCGGCTTCCTCTCCGGCCACGACGGACAGCTTTACCTCCCTCACCTCCTGGGGTCGGGACGGGGCTGTGGGGGGGGATTATGGAGGGGAGAGGAGAGAATGCACGAACGCAGGCAGGAGGTGATGGGGAGAGAGGGGGGAGCATTCAGCTGGCGCGGGGTTGGGAAGGAGGGCAGGCGGAGGAGAACTGGAAAGAAGGAAATTGAGACACCATGAAAGGGGGAGAGCAATGGAGGAATAGAAGTAGAGGCACAAAATTGGATAAAAGTTATAGACTAAGAGGACCAGCCAGCTATGGAACCGGCCGCGCTAGGAGCAGCAGCAGCAGCTGCTGCTGCTGCTGCTGCTGCTGCTTCTGCTGCTGCTTCTGCTGCTCGCCCGTCATCCACATTTACAAGACGTCGAAGTGGATACGACAGTGTACGGCACAGTACAACACAGCAACGCACACAATATGTATCCTTTGCTGACAAGAATTGGTTGTTTTTAAGTTGCTTACGAATTACCTAAATATTAATGCCGTACAACCCTAAAACAAATGCCGTAGTTCCCTTGCCCTTCCCCCCGACTTACCCCGCACGGCTAGCATCCATGCATCCACTCGGGGCCCGGATCTTGCAGCCAAATAGTTGGCTGTCGCCATAAGACCACGTGCCGAATGACATGCTGAATGCATTGTCGTACCCCGCGCCACTTGGCATTGACAGCGACTAGGCACCTTATAACGCTTACCATGTTGCCGTCTATGCCGCCGTAGAGAATCCAGGATTGATTCTTTACGATCCCATAGATTTTAGCCCATTAGTACTGACAGTTTTCTACGTGAAGCGTTGAAAACTAAGGTTTTCTGCGAATACGGAGTGTCTTTGCCGTATGGCGTACGAGCCAGTGTGGCTCTTGTGTCGCGGCACGCGACAGTGTTGGCTAATTCGGGTTGTTCGTAGCTACGTTTGGGTGCTGCCGTGAAGCGGTTGGTCTGTAGGCCTTGGTGATCCGCTTCGTGGTAGTGTGCCCTCAATTACAATGTCCGATTCTGACAGTGAGACTTCGGTCAGCTACAACACGATGTACACCGAACTAAAAGCGCGAATAGTCGCACTTAAGGAAAATAAAGCGTCGCGCCGCTGACCCGGGCGTAATTTTGAACAAGCAGCAGCTGGCTGCCATGGACCAGCTGAACGCCGTGAAGCTGCAGCTGACAACCATTAAGAAGCTTATGGACACGAAGCCTGACGTGCAGGCGGTCGACGGTCCACCGGCGAAGCGGGCCCGTGTTGCCCTTGAGGATTTCAAATGTGACTTCGGCGCCAGCGAGGGCAAAGCGAACAAGTCTCTCAGCGGACAGCGCGCGCATATCGAGAAATGCTACAATGCGGTAATGGACATTGAGGACGCGTGGCGCAACGTCCTCGCGGCTCGGCCCGGCGAGGAACGCTTCAGGAACATCGAGGCCATGGAGACTGCCATCACCGACGGCAAGGCCGTGTTCCGGGGGGTCGCGAAGGAGCTGGTCGTTGCATACAACCACGGCTGGGAGGTCGTGCATGAGATGCGTGGCATGGCGTACGCGGAGACGGAGGAGGAGCGCAAGGCGCTGAAGCAGGCCGTGAAGGCGGTGGCGGGCAAGAAGCCCAAGCAGGCCAAACCCGCGAGCGTGCCGGCCGGCTCTGGCGCGGGGGCCGGGGTGAAGCAGGCGGCGGCGGCGGGTGTCTGTTTCAAGTGCAATAAGCCTGGGCACTTCGCCAAAGAGTGCAAGGAGAAGTAACGGGGTGTAGTGTGGTGTGGGTGTGAGAGGTAATTCACAGCCCGTGGGCCTGGGAAGGTCGTGGTGGTTTGGAGCCGACGCGGGTGTTAACTCGCGAGTCGGGGCCCGGAGAGGCCGGGGGCAGCAGCCCCGTGGTGTTTGGGAGCCGACACGAGTGTTAACTCGCGGGTCGGGGCCCGGAGAGGCCGGGGGCAGCAGCCCCGTGGTGTTTGGGAGCCGACACGAGTGTTAACTCGCGGGTCGGGGCCCGGAGAGGCCGGGGGCAGCGGCCCCATAGCGTGGAAGCGTGTTGTTGACGTTCCTTGTGGCTGTAGCCTTGTGCGGGGTTGGGTGGCTAAGGGCACGGCCGCCCCCTCCGCGATTATTGAAGTTTCGTGGTAGTGTGCCCTCTCCCGGCCCTACCCTTTCACGAAGACGTTCTTTCCTTGCGTGCAGGTACTTGTTTGTAACGTAGTCTTCGCATGAAAACTTTAAGGCTTTAAAGTTACTGCATTCCCTTGCACGAAGTTGACGGATTTAAGGCGGGCGTGCTCCGAAGTCAACCGGATCCAAAGGGCCATCGGGGATATAGTCTTAGTCCTTGTCCAGTGCGGAAGCCTTCGCACCTTGTTGTGCCGTGGGAATCCTTTTGCTACGGGTGCTACAGGCAGCGTTCCTACCAGCTCGTTGCGTAGTTGCCCGAAAAGTGCATGACCGCGCTCCTACACCTAAAACGCAAGCGCACTCAGCTCAGAACTGAAAAGCCCATAATGAGCTTTATATGAACATGTAGGTCTTTTATTTGTTTAAGACACATGTACTCTTTCTTCACTTTGCTTCCAATTTTAAAAACTCCAGCCAAGTGTAATAGGAAGTCATCGCGGTCACGAAGCCGTAGCTCGCTGAAGCAATGGACTGAATCATACAGAAACTACTCCCCGGGTACTGTTTTCACACTCTGGGCACTATACAGTTGACGAGTGTCCTTGTGTATATTGCTTGGGTACTAGAACTTGTGTGTTGTATTATTATGTCCCTTACCTAACTTGTGGCTCTTAGGAGGCTCGTGAGCCTCTGCTGGCTCGTATTGGTGGGCTCATTACACCTCTCCTCTGGGTAACGCAACAGAGGTTGTAACACGCACAGCTACACACACTGGTACACACACAGCTACGCACACCTAATATCCTACACGCATGTATCGACCCCCACAAATCAGCCCCTTCCACAGCCCCCTCCCCTCCCTCCCTCCCTTCCTCCCTCCTCCCTGTCTACATCACTGACCACATCATGGGGACTGCGGACATTTTCCATTCTCCTCTTTGGGGCTCCCTCTCCCTCTCCCTCTCCCTCTCCCTCTCCCTCTCCCTCTCCCTCTCCCTCTCCCTCTCCCTCTCCCTCTCCCTCTCCCTCTCTCTCTCTCTCCCTCTCCCTCTCCCTCTCCCCCNCTCTCTCT